GAGGGGGGCCACTTAGGGATCTGGGGCAAAATCAGTACTTGGTCCTGCTAGTGAAGGCAGGGGGCTGGATTCAATGACCTTTCAAGGTCCCTTCCAGTTCTAGGAGATAAGATATCTCCATATATTATATTATATACTCAACAGTGCAACTGTGCTGTGCAGGATTCAGCCCATTTCTGTGTGTTCAGTACTTGACCTGTCACTGAAGGAAGTTAACAGTTAAACAAAGCCCAAAGTTTCTCTCCACGTGTGAACTGAAAATATTCAGTGTGTGGTCTTTGGGCTAAAATGTGATATAACGTGCTCTGTGACATTGCATAGTGATGGTAACTGGAAACCAGCAATGGGGAATGAAAGAGGAACACAGAAAAATGTGCAATTTGCTTTATGAAAATACCAATGTTTTCACTTGCCATTGTTTGCCATGCTTAGATTTTTTTTACACTCTGGTTTTATTTAAGGAAGCATTAAAGTTATTTTGAAAAATTAAGAATTCAGGTTTGAAGATGCCCAAGTGAAGTGAATCAGTGAAATCTGTCAGTAAAAAATTTGCTCCCAAAAATGCCTTTTCTCTTAGTGTCAAGTATCAGAGGGGTAGCCGTGTTAGTCTGAATCTGTAAAAAGCAACAGAGGGTCCTGTGGCACCTTTGGGACTAACAGAAGTATTGGGAGCATAAGTTTTCGTGGGTAAGAACCTCACTTCTTCAGATGCAAGAGAAGCATCTTGCATCTGAAGAAGTGAGGTTCTTACTCACGAAAGCTTATGCTCCCAGTACTTCTGTTAGTCTCAAAGGTGCCACAGGACCCTCTGTTGCTTTTCTCTTAGTGGAAGCTGGTGTCTGGTTGTGTTAGTGACTGTTGATTGCTAAAGGACTTGTATGCTGGCTTGCTGTAATATTTGTCTGCAACAGTAATAAAGCAAAGGTGAACTATCTTCTGCTGCCACTGAGCCAGTTCTGACTTATTTTGTGGGCAGGATCAGGAGGAGAAATGTCACTTGGACGTCAGGAAGCTTTTGAAATTTTCAAGAGGGATTATGTCGACAGCGTAACCATCGAGGACAACAAACAGCTTCTTAAACAGAGGTGAGTGAGTGTCACGTTGAGATACAGCCAGGGATCTAAGGGCTCACAATGACTCTTGTGAACTATGTTTCAAGCTTCAAACTTAAACTTGGGGCAGCAGCAAGCTGTGCCTGTGGGAAAGATTTATTGCCCATCAGGTGCTTGAGGGCATTATATAAGAACCTGAATAGAATAGATTATAAGGAGCGATCAGGCTGGTCACAGAGCATTACTGTTCTTCTCTCACAAGCCCTAGAGAATATATATGGCAGGATGGCGTTGACAGTTTTGAATGATGTAAAGGAAGTTGGAGTCATGTGACTACTACTTTCATTAATATAATTTCCATTGTAGGAAAGAGTTTTATAGGCTGAGGCACTGAATTAAGATACCAAAGGGACTCACAAAACCTGTGTTCTAGTCCTCTACTACTGATTTTCTGTGTGTTGTTGGCCAAGTCATTTGAACCTTTCTGTGCCTATCTCTCTCAAATAGAAATAGCAATATTTTCCTACCGCACATATTAATGTTGTAAAGCACTTTGAGCTCTTCAGATGGACGGGACTAGAGAAGAGCAGCATATTGAAAGTAGCAATCCACAGCAAGGAAGACAGTGACAATCCTGGAAATTACAACACATCAGACAATGTCAACTGGCCAACCATGCTATGTCATTTCCGCTTCTGCATGTGGCATATATACACAGCACACCCACAGCATTCAGTGACAAACAGGGCATTTGGGAGGTGATCAGAGGTATGAAGGTGGATCTATAATACCTCTCTCACTTTTTATACTCCTGTGTCTCTCTCCCAACTTTTCCTTTTGTCTCCTCCCTTTCCTGGCTTCATCCTTAGAATAGTCTCCCACCCCATGTGCACCAAAGGCCTTATTTTCAGAGGCACTGAGCAGCTACCATTCCCATTAACTTGAGAGTATCTCTGAAAATCAGGCCCCAGGTTATCTCCCTCTCCTCTCTGCATTTTATTCTGAAACTCGCTGTTTGTTTGTTTTTTGTTCACCTTCTCTGAACTGCATAACTTCATTCTTATGTCTACATCTTCCATTCTCTGACACCCAGGTACCAAGATGATGGGAGTGTAAGAAGTAGATAAGTATTTATTTTTTTGTAAAGTATACATATTGAACTATCCTGTTTAGAAATGTCTGTATTCTGATGATTAATAGATCAAATGATTCATGAGTAACTTAATGCGATCATTTCTTACATCTCTTCCTTTCAAGAACTGATAAAACAGTTTATAAATAAAGATTTCAGTGACATTACATCAACATAAAATTGGAGTAGCGCAGTGGTGAATCAGGACCATCATTTCTTGGACTTAATGTATGTTTTTATCAATTTCTCTGACCCAAAGCATTGTGAAGGAAAATGCATATTTCCTTTTATATTCTGACTATATAGTAGAGATCGGCCCAAACCACAAAGTTTGTACCAGATTCAAATTTCCCCAAATTTCAAGGGAGTTCAGACCCACACTCTTGAGTACCCCATTTCTAATACATAGCAATTGTCATTATTCACAAGTGCTGTGTGAATCTTGATCCATTTGGAAATCATTTCTCATGCTGTTTGCAGTGGACTTTAGCAAAGGAGATTTGCAACTCAAAGTTTATTATGTTTGTTAAAAACAGATTCATCTCAAGTCTGTAATTTGGAATGCAGCTGCTGAACCACCAGTTGCAAATTGCACAGTAAAGATCTTATGCACAATACATATTTAAAGGTTACCATACCTTTCCCGTATATGCAAGCCTCTCATGCTAATATTTTTGTGTACAGTAGCATAACCACTTCTGTTATATCATGGCAGCTTTTGATTCAATTTACTTATATTTTAATTGCTTTTTTCTTCTCTTTTTTCTCTTGTTTTTTTCCCTCTTTTACCTTATTTTGGGTGAATTTTCTTTTCTTTTTATTTCCATGTTAGTTATATTGTTTGTGTTGGTTGTGAGTTTAACATAAAACTGAAAGCTTGACTGTAATGCTAACAACTATAACAATTCAAATGTCTTGAGCACTGGGAGCCAGCTATATAGATGCTTTCTGTAGATGCCTTTGTATAACTGAAATACAATAAAAATCTTGAATTAAATTTGATTTAAAATAAAAATTGAAAAAAAAAGGCAGCAGGTGCTCCTTTAAAACAATGTGCATAAGAGAAATATGTATTTTAAACTTTGTAAATAATGCTTTTCATCTGTAAGCCACAAAGCACTTTCCAAACGTGTGTCAATATTTCTTTCCTCAGTTTTTACAGATGGGGAAACTGAGGTACATTAAGGATTAGTTTCTTGATGAAGGTCATACAATGAATGAGTCATTGCTCAAGTGAGAAACAGAATGTAGGGTTTCTTCGTCTCAATACACTTTAACTGCCCCTTTACTTCAGCTGGCCTTGGGGAACACTAAACAAGTGGCCTCATGAGGTATAAGGGCCACTCCTGCAGACATGTATGCATCTGGCACAGAACAGTTGCTATTCATTTCTATCCTCTACAGTGAAAACTGCTGCTGCTGCCCACTGGCACTGCCTAAATGCCTATATTTGTAACCACACAGAGGCAGAGTTCCGGGCCTTTAACTTCCTACATTAGACCTCCAAAAAGCTTAATAATGTTTGTGCCTGCCAAGGCATTGAGGAGAGGAGAGGAGAGGCTTCTCTTAGCATCCATTCCTTGAAGTGAAGAATAATCTTAAATCTCATTTTCCAGTGAAACGTGTGTGAAAACTTGTCCCAGTCGAGCCACTACAATCTAGCTTCCCATGCTGCACCAGACATTCTAAACCCAGCCCCAGCGTATGTTTCCAATTACAAGATCTCATTGTAACGTAGAGGTATAATGTAAAGCTGGTCTGAAGGCTTGTCCACAGGGTGCATTAATGTGTGCCACAGAGGTGTAAATTCTAGTGCACACTAGTAGGCCGTGCACTGTCTGGCCTGTATGGACCCTGCTGGTGGTCCCATTTGAAACGCACCATGTAGACAAGCTCTCAGTTTCTTTGTTCTCCTACCCCAGATTTTCCACTTATTTTCCTCTTTAAGTCTCAACTATCCAGCCTGCCAGCTTAGGCCATTTTTGCCTTTTCTCCTCTACTCACAAGCTTTTGTTAATCTGCTTTGATACCACAGTGTCAAATTCACTCCTGGTTTAACTGTTGTGGTCAGTAGTTACCAAGGGATGAATTTGGCCCATGGTGATTGAGTCTGCAATAATCCTTAATGGAATCAAGCTGTGCCACCTAATAGTCTGAAATAAATGAGTGCTAAACTGATATTGGCTCTCCCATTTGATGGCCTCTGAGAAAGTCAGCTTTTATGCTGACTGAAAAACAGAGACTTATATTTCAAAAAAAATTATTTGGGATATGTCATATTTGCATTTTAAGGATGAAATCTTTGCACCATTGAAGTCAGTGGCCAAACTCCCATTCATTTCAATGGGACAAGGATTTCACCCTATGAGTTTTACTTATGATGGCAACTAAAATCTCAGCAACAACAGTCTTCTTGAGGGAACTGTATACTCACTCAGGCTACATGTGAATTTCCTATGGACTGCACGAATACAGTTGCTTAACTGACCAGTAAGCATTAATGTTCACATACTGATGATCAGTCTCCCTTAAGAGCACCCTTATGCTAGATTTCTTCTTGGAAAAGAATCAGAAACTACACCTTTTCCCATAATTCAATTAGCAGGTTGAACCCAGAAGTGTTTGTTTTGGTTTTACTCAATCATAGGCATTTTACCTGAGTACTGACCAAGAAACAGTGAGTAAGGAACTCAGGATTTGGCCCAAGGGTTGGGAAGAGAAAGAGGCCATTTGGAGGTTTCTCTTTAGATCTCTGCCCAGACTGCAGGATATCCCTTTGGTTGTATTAAGTCAATACTCATGGAAATACAGTAGCTTATAAAAACAAAAGAATGCAAATGAATGTTTCTAAGGCTTCTCCCTACTTGTGTCATAAATAGCAAGTGTCAAGGAGCCTTTTTGTGGAGGCTACTTATCCATGCTGAATTCAGCTTTAACAGTAAGTGAGCATGAGCAAATGTGGATGTGGTGGTTCAAAATACCTAGTCTGAGGGGAAAACTGACTAATTAAGATGGGGCAGTTACCCAAACCACATCTCCCTAGTGGGAAAGCAATATTTCTTAACTCTCCACCACTGCTGTTTGAGCTAGACAGAAATACAACTTGTGGGTTTCCCCAGCAGGGTTCTGCTAGAGCATGGCTCATCCAGATCAGCGGAAGGCTCCGTTAACAGTCAAGTACAGTAGTTTTGCCTCCAAACCCTGCAAGGAATGACTATACACATCTAAGTAACCATTCCAAATTTCGCAACAACGCTACTGCCCCACCACAACAATCTTGATACAGCAAATCACCCCTCTGGTATTTATTTCCTTCTTCGATTATTACAATGGAGTTTTCCTGTAATATACCTCAAATCCCTCAGGACTTTTTCAACTGTTGCCATTGTATATAGAGTTAATTTCCTTTATCATTAAACTAGAATAAATTTGGTGTTACAGAGTGTATTTTGTATACCATGTACCCTAAATAGCTTTACAAATTACTGAGTTAGATACTGGCAGGCTAGTGATTCTGTCAGCTGATGCAGTAATAGCACAAACAGCCTGGGATACTGCAACCTGTTTAACGGAAAGGGCAAAGGAAGCAGGGGGAGGAAAATTCTAGCAGCCTCCTAGGGAAGATGGAGAAATTTAGTCCACTTACTGGATCCTATCTTTTGGCTGTTCTTTTTGGAAGGTGCTCAGATATCGTTGTGATGGGCACCTTGTAAGAATGTAGATGAAGCAAGTTTGCTGAGAGTGCTAATTGTTAGTATTTTGGGAAAGGAATACTGCCTTACATCACATTTCCAGCTGAACAGAAACCACTGCAGATTGCAGAAACCAATCACTGCAGATTATTTTGAATAATACATGAGGATGTGACCCTTAGAGGATAACAAGGAAGTTTTCAAGTTAGTTAATTTAGAAACATTGTTAGTGTTATTAGTTAAGCATTGCAGTCATCTTTTATGAAATAAGAAATAAGGAAATTGTTTGTTTGTGTCACCATAGTAATTACGTAGAGGCCCTAGTCGTGAACCAGAAACCCATTGTGCTAAGCATTGCAAACAGAGAACAAAAAGATATCCCCTGCCTCAATGAGCTTACAGCCTCACGTGTCACTCCAACCGGCAACTAATTTTACCATTGTTTACATGACTTAAACTACTACCATTGTACATTTATGCAGAGAAGACAGCATGGTGTAGATGCTTGAGCAAAGGGCTAGGAGCTAGGAACTTATTAATTGCACTATACTCGTTGCGTGGCTTAGGGCAACTCACGTAACTGCTCTGTGCCTCATTTTCCCCACCTTTAAAATTGGGATGCCAATACCTTCCTCCAAAGGGTGTTATAGGGTTTGTTTAGTTAATGTTTGTACAGTGCTTTGGAAATGTACAGCACTAAAAGTATCAGAGAGGTAGCCGTGTTAGTCTGGATCTGTAAAAAGCAACAGAGAGTCATGTGTCACCCACAAAAGCTTATGCTCCAATACATCTGTTAGTCTTAAAGGTGCCACAGGACTCTCTCTAGCACTAAAAGTGTTATTCGTTGTATTATGATCTCACATCCAGAAGAGCCCAAAATAGTTGTACATATGTTACACACGCAGGAATCACTCACCTGCCATTGAAATGCAGTCATCTTCATTATAGAATAAAGTGGCAATTTAAGCAGACACAGAAACACCACACAACAGTTCAGGACTTAAGGTTAAAAACAATTGAAACTTGCAGTAGGAAGGTTATTACCAGAACTAGAACTTGGCCAGGCCACCAGGGTTAACATCCCTACTCTTGCAAAAAGTTCCCTGGGATCTTTAATTATCACAAGTGGTCAAAGCCTCAGTTTTCTTTTTCAACACTCCCTAGAAACATGAGGGTTAATTAGCTCAGTACAAAAACAGAGGGAAAAGCCATTTACTGAATCACCAACACCACTTCCTGCAGCTGGCTGGGTTGTACTTGGTCTCCCATCCAAGTATTGACCAAGGTCAATTTTTCCGTCAAACCACTATCCCAAGATGGTAAGACTCTAAGACCTCAATCTGTGCTAGTATAAGGAGGGTACAAATGTGCAGTATTAAGTAAAAGGAAAATGTTGTATTACTGGAACAGTGCAAAAGAAAATTAAGGACAAAAATGTGCTTGAAAGAAAAGGTATTTAATTTATGGGTTTTTATCAGTTATAATCCTCTACAGAGTATGAAATAAACTGAGGGAAATGTCACATATTTAAAACCTCTTTTCCAGCTATGCATAGCACTCGTTGAATGCTACAAAACTAATTTTTCCATACATTGATTTGAATTTTGAAGTCATTGATTCAGTTCCACCATGTTCAGGCCCCTTTTCATTTGCTGTTTGTTTGAAAGATTTCATATGGATGGGTTTCAGTTCAACAAATGTTTGGAATATGGCTGGGTTTTTGTTTGAATACCTGCATTTGCATGCAAAGAAGGGTATCTGTGGACAAACGAGTATTAATAATTTCCACTATTCATCATTTCTTATTCTCCTGTCTAAAATTTTGTTAGGGAGCCTTACTATGTGACTTGGGTGACCGGTTACACATCACGAATAATGAATAGTGATGTGAGAAGTTTGCATACAGCTCAGAAGCTGAAAAATTTTCATCCAAACTATTCAGTGAATCTTTACAAATAAAACTTGGAATTTCTGTTCCCTAAGATATTCTGACATTTTGGATTGGGGTTTTTTTTAATTATTCTGAATTGGAATGAAAAGCTACAATTTCAAAACTTCTCATGAAACAAACAAGCCACAAAATTTCAGTTTGGGACCATCAAATCATTTAGTTTTGATAAGGTAAAAAGCATGTTGTTTCAATAGGTAAAAACAGTTCAGTTTGACGTTGTTCCAGTTCATTTTGTTTTGACTTTTATGTTATATTACTATATTAAATATTGCATGTAATATTAAAAGTAATATTTTCATATAATATAAAAGTCAAAACAAAATTAAATGAAACTTTTTGACACTATCAAAACAAAACAAGAAAGTCATAATGATTAATTTAGACTTTTTTCAGTCAAAAATTTTGTCAAAACTGACACATTCAAGTTGAACAAAATTGCCTTTTACAATGGAAGTCTATTCCGTCTAAAAAAATGTGACCAACGCTACTTACAGATAACAAGTCATTCACAATAATGAGTTTGCAGATAATTTGCAAAGAGAAATACAGTCTTGATTTGTTAGAAAAAATATTCTCAACAAATAGCTCTAGCTGTAGTTTTGAGTAACTCCACCTGTTACTCTGTTTCTGTCATTAGGTTTGCTGAAGCAAAATCCCTAGGAGAAAAAGTAAATGAAGTAAGAAATAAAATAAGTAAGTAGATTTGTTTTAATTTCCTTATCTATCTAAATAATTGTCGGTTTTAACATACATTCATAACATACCAGGGACATGTAACCAGAGTCTGTTTTCTGATGAAAATTAACCAACCCATTACTAATAAAATTCTCTTTAAGACTAGGTCCCAGCTGATGACAGGAGATGTGGTCATTTTAAGTACAAACTTTGATTATTAGAAATTCCATAATGTGAAAGCCCCCAAATATATTCTTCATTTGGGGCTTTAGGTAATAGCTGTCACTTATCTGAAGTGGAACGCAGCCCTGTTGAAAGGTGTTTAGCATTTGCAATCCAGAATCTGATGCGGAAAATATCCAAATACTGTGTGGTTTAGAAAGATTGTAAACTGTGCGGGTCAGGGATTGCACTTACCTGTGTGTTTGTAAAGAACCTAGCACAACAGGGCCCCAGTACTGATTGGGCCTTTGTGCTCCACCCTTATACATTTAATAAGTAGGAATGTGAGACTCCTATGGGAAGGGTGAGTGTTTAAACAAACAAAAAAATTAGAAGATCTCAGGGTTTCAAGAGAAATCTCTCTGCACCAGGAGGAAAACACCTTTTTATCTTGCTCTTTTCAGAAGAAACAACACTGTAGGATTTTAATATTCCTGGGGGCCAAATGCTTTCTCTAGTTCCTAGCCCAAACAGCCAAGCTCTATGCTGGGGAAATCTTCACTGGTCCTGAGAGAAAGAATCCTTTTCCACAGACAGGCAATATAATCACTCAGAGCATTACCATAGCTGTAAGCTTCGGAGCTTTGGTAGAACCCCCACTTGCAGATTAAGACCACTTTACTTCTGAATGACAGCATCCACACTGGAGTTTGGGTGCTTTAAATTCACACCTTTAGTTCATTCAGCTTAAATTTCCTGAGTATTCCCATGTAGCACATGCCCATAGAGTATCCTGCTAGGCAGTATGTACCAGCAAAATGCTGTTTTACAAACCCAAAATGAGAGCCACGCTCTTTGAGTGGCTATGTTTAATTTGTTTTAGTGGATCCCAGCAAAATCTAGAGGAAAGCATTGGCTTTGATTGCAGTATTGTTTGCTTTTCCTTTTCCCAAAAGATAGTCAGAACTGTTCACAAAAACACTGGAACAGAATTGTGATTTTGCAGCATTTACAAACATTTGTTGTTAAATAGTTTTTCTCATCAAACCCTGTATTGAGATAATCAAAATTGGTTTTATTTACTGTTTCAATATTAACACTGAAGAATGTGAATGGATCAGTAGCAGAAAATAGCCAGCCCTTCGATCACTGGCTGCCACTATGCACAGATCAGTAGAGCTGTGCTGAACTTCAAGATACATACCTGCCATCCACAGGTAATTCTGATAATAACCATCCATAAAGATGCCAAAAGGTTCCTTTCAAAAATCAGAACAGAAAGCCCTTTTCCCTCTACCTGTTTCTAAGGAAACCCTTTAGAAGACTTTACTTATTTGTTTGTTATTGTTTGCTTTAAATGTCCTGTGACACAACATACAGATTGCGGATTTTTTCATTAAAAAACCCCTTTTCTAAAAGCTTTAATTTTTTCTAAAGCAAGATCACTGCCATTACTAAAAAGTACAGTCATCTAAACAAACTTAGTTGCCTAAAGTTTGATTACTTTGAAAATGTTGCTGTTCTAGTGATTAGAGTGGCTGACTAGGATGAAGGAGCTGTATGTTTCTCTTCCTGATTCTACTGCAGTCTCACTGTGATACCTTGGTCAAGAAATTTAACTTCTCACCTCAATTTCCCCATCTGTAAAATGGGAATAATATCCATCTTTGTAGAGTGTTTTGAGATCCTTGAAAGAAAGTCCAAGATAGTAGTATTATTATTATTGTTACTGTTGTTGTTATTGTTTTTATTATTATTATTGGTCTAGAATCTGCTTCCAATCCATTGTAAATGCAGTTTTCTCTAAGATACAACCAACTTTTCCTAAAAACTCACTCTGGGCTGAAACTTGGAATTCAAGTCCTCACCTTAGGTGTGTTTTTTGTTGGTTTGGTTTTTTAATAGTATCAATTTGTACTAACTTTAGTTTCAATTGATCTGGTATTTTTCAAGTGATAGGCAGACAAACTCTCATTTTGTGGTTATAAATGTTTTTCATGTATTGTATAGGCTTTTAGGCACCAATCCTATAAAAGGATCTGTGTGAGTGTACACAGCTGAACTCCACGCTGATGGGAGTGTCCACCTTCATGGATCACTTCAAAATCTCGGTCACAGGCTGTAACATAGGCTACTTTGTTAACAGTTTCAAAATATTAATAAAATGCCAGAGGATTAAGAAAGAGATCATAGTGCAAAACCACTTTCCCAGAAGAATTTTTTTTTTAATAACTACATTCTGGGCATATGAAATCTAGTACTGTGGAATTATAATGTAGGTTATATTGAGCTATTCCTTCGGCCTATCAGGGCCTTTTCAGATCACCTCTATTAATAAACTTGCCTATTAGCACCTCTCAGACAATTATTAGATCCCTAGGGTCAAGAAAGTTTCTGTAGCTAAACCAGAGCAATTAGGCCAGTTTACATAGTTAAGCAGTCTGAAACAATTTTCCAGTTAAGCCTGGCTCATTCATAGTTTGCGTATTCAGACAAAGCAACGTTAATGATGCCACATAAGGTTACTAACCTGCCAATATTATACTGAAAAACCTGATAGGGGCAATAATAGTCATCTGGGCCTGCAGCTAGGTCTTTAATTCACTTTTATTGTTGTTTTGGTTTCCTTAAAACATTCCTGGCTGAGTTGATGTACAAAATCAAGAACAGATCCCATCAATATCAGTTTCTTCTATTTCCAAGTTACACTTAATAATATAAAACTATGCACCACAGAGGTCATTGGGGGAACCTCCTGGTAAGCCACTTGGTGCAATGTAGAACCCATTTCACATGGTCTGATTATATACAGTGATATTGACAGTAGTTGGCTGTAACCTAAATTTGTATCCTGTGTGTCATAACTACCCTCTCATTCTGACTTTCTTTTGGAAGTATTGCAGTATTTTGCAATAGAAGTTATGCAAAATACTGCAACCACTTCCCAAATACATCAGCATTTTGAAAAACACATAAGGCACTTGGAACTGAGCAAAGAAATTCACAATGTGACTTTTTCTGGTAGGCTTTTGTGGTTGCTGTTGTTGATTTCACAAAAAGATAAAGGAAAAACATCCTAGGAGTCAGTGGGAGTTTAACTGCAGAACGACTATAATATCAGTAATAAGATACTGCAGCTAGCATTCCTCTATTTTAATTCCTCTCTGCAGTTGCACCACAGAGAATCAAATCCTGCCACCCTTATTTATACTGAATAGTATCTTACTCTGTGAGTAGTTCCACTGATTGCAGGGTAGTACTCAACATGAGGAAAGGAGGCAGAATCTGGACTATCATGAATAATAATAATAATAAAACTGTAGGGTATGGTCACATAGTCCAAACCTCTGAGTGTAAGAATCTCTATAAACTTCTAACCTTTTGTTCTCCTACTACTGCATGATCTGCACTGGTTTTGCAATAAGCATCTGGGTGGACTTCAACATGTTGGGTTTTTTAACTCATAAAGCACTAAATGGTTTGAGATCTGGTCACCTGAGAGACAGTCTCTTTGCCTGTGGTATGCTACCACAAATGAGATGAAGAGAGGTATTTGAGCTGGAGCTACTTTAATATAAATGAGAAGGAGCTGCTGGCAGGGTGCAGTCCATAAGGGGTCCTCAGCTTTGGAACCTGCTCCCCACTTGGTCTGCCAGAGCCCAGCATTATTAACCTTCTGTGCATGCTGCAAGGGCCATTGATTTTTTTCTCCTCTCCAAGATTGTCAAGGAGAGGCTGATCTGAGGTGGATATAGTTATGTGCAGTTCCTTGTTTATTCTGATTTTTAACTTATGGGTAAGGTGTTCAGGGCACAGGATGGGCACCTATAGTACAGTTTTGGGAGGGAGGGAGTATCCTCCAGGTCAAGTCTTGAAGCCTACTAGAAGGCCTCAAAGGCCGTGATACTATCACAATTCCACTCCCCGGGTGATCCTATCCACAGAGAATCCCCACAGCAGGAATTCTCTTTTCCCAGCACACTGAAAAATAGTGCTGCACAACAGTTCTCTCCCACTCTTCTGTGAAAGATTTTGGAGGGGCAGGGCAAGAGGGTCTGCAACGGCACAAACTGCTGGTCAGCATCCCCAATCAAGTGGCAGCAAAGAGGCCGGGAGCACAGTGGAATTAGAACAGAGAAGAATTTGGCCCATTGAGGAGACTTTAGAAAATATGCTCTGTACAAGGAAAATTAAGCTGGTCTATTCTTACTGAGTTTAGTGATTAAAAGAGCTGCTCACACGCAAGCATGCAATAGGCACATGTACAGTAGATGCATATATGATTAGTAAAGATTTCCAATGCTTCACTATAAATGTCTGTTTTACTTGGGATGTTTATACCACTATTTGTTCTAATTTTTCCTGAGGAAAAAATTAGACCAAATGGTATTTGAAAGCCCAAAGGGAGGCAGCTGTTCCTTTTAGTCTGTCCAGAAATCAGCTAACGCTATAATTGAAGCTGTTTGAGGAAAGGCAAACTCATGTGGGAGTAATAGCTGTGCAAGCAAACAACAGGCCCTCTAGTAATGAAAAAGGCTAGGTGGGTGGATTATGTGCATGTGATGTTGACTGTGCAACCGTACCCCCAGGAATGTTGTGATGTTTCATTGGTCTGCCTTCTCTGAAACGTTATGGTGAGGCTGCTTAATGCATGAGATCGTATGATATCCAAGACAATCATACTCTTCGGTGAGGCCAAAGAGCTACTATTAGAAAATGAGATTACAGTATAATTAATTTTTTATACATAGCACTTATCATTTTCACAATACATTGTAATATTGCCAACGATAGAGTAAGGCAGTGAGAGTTGTTGTGGGGGCAGTAGCACAAGAAGAAGTGTGAAGGGCTAACAA